TGCTAGGACACAGGCATGAGCCACCACACCTGGCCCTAATATACATTTCTATAGAAATAAATCAGTGTCTGGCTGTATCATTTAATCATTGCTCATGGTGAGAAAGAGATGGTGCTAAACATCTGCACTAGTCAGAGCTGTAGTTGACCCAGGGACACTTTGTTGCTGGACATATGATTCACCCTAGGCATGAAGAAGGCCTATCAGTGTCATTTCTTTAGCCTCCGAATAGAGTTAGGCCATCCAATGCAAGGAAAACACCTTCCTCCAAAAAATTTAGAAGTCCTGACAGGGAATACCATATTAAACATACAGCTAGTGTTCTTAGCAAAAAGATGTCATGGGATAAATCAGTGTCTTTTTATAACATTCAACTTTCTCCGTAAGTATTTGATCATCTCAAACAAATTTTATCTTTAGTGTATAAATTCCTCTGGTTTTTATTTTGATGGTAATTTTGTTTGAATGTTATTTCTATGGAGAATATGTAACATCATGTACAAATAAGTTAAGGACTCATTTTCTAATTTAAGAAAAATAGATGGGAATCATTTAAGCCTAGATTTTGAAATCTAGGAAAAAGGTTGGTTAGCATGCTTAAAGAAACATCTTTGTTGTGGAGGTGAAATGAAACTTCTGAAGTATGTTCTGATTCTCTCTCTTTCTCCTTCTCTCTCTCTCTCTCTCTCTCTCTCTCTCACACGCATGCGCGCACACACACACACACACACACACACACACACACACACACACACACACGCACTTTAAACCCGGGAGTCAAGGGAACTGTATTGGGGTGGTGGTAGTGGGGGGCAAAGTAGATGTCATCTTTCTCATACTTGTCTTTCAGATGGAACCCCCCTGAGCTGGCGGGTTGGAAGAACCAATGAAACACACACTCATCGGGAAGGTTCTCTGCCTGATGCTCAAAAGTGTACTTGTGGATCAGAAGGGAACTGCATTGATTCTCAATATTACTGCAACTGTGATGCTGGCCGGAATGAATGGTGATTTCCACATGATTTCCCTGCACAAAAATGTAGTTTTTATTCCTTAATTATGCATAGTTAATTAAATATCAGACAAGCTGGTACAAAAAGGTAACTAGACTAAAGTATGTTCAAGCAAGTTAAAAATATGTTTTGATGACATATGATCAATTAATTTAAAGATTAAATTTCATGATGAAAGATTTACTGTAATATTTCACTGTGAATACTATATAATGTACATTTTATTTTTTCTAAAATAGAAACACCTGGTAAGTTTTCCACTTACTGGAAATCAAATATCAGTCTTTTGGAAGTTTAATTAATCTATTAAGTATTCACGCAGTATTCTCATAGCAGCAACTCAAAGGTGAATTCCTCCAAATCTTTGTCATAATAGATTTGGGATGCAATGCTGCATGTTCTATCATTCTTTTAGAAATTCACAATAAACATTAACACATTAGAACTCTGAGAGGTCCTGCATAAAAGGACTGTGTTTATTTTTTGGAATCAACAATTTCCCATACTCATTTAACTCTTCGTTAGTGCAATACCAAAGCTTTAAGAACCAAATGTTCTGTAGACCACACTTTGAAACAACTAACACGTAGAATTTCAAGGATTTGAAAATTGTACTTTAAGCTTTCTTTTGAGGGCAAGAATTTTCTCATGGAGATTGCATGCTTCTTTTTATAGAAGTTGTTTTTGAGGTTATTTTTGGAATGTGTGTTGGTCTTGTTTTTTATTTGTAATGTGAAAATGTTTTAAATTTCTGGATTGAGGTTGCCAATTCAAAAACATTGTCATAAAACAACTAGACTATGTAGACTACATTCTTTTTTAAAAAAAAATCTTAACGGTCAGTCAGGTGTCAATATAGTTGATTTGTCTATAAAATAATCTAAGCAGTAATTTGATTCCTAAAAATTCAGTTTATCATTTGGACTGCATGGTAGTCCACTTACTTAATTGACATAAATAAAAACTATTTTGAATCACTTTAAAAAATATTGTTGAATTTGAAAAACACACTTGAATAGACTGGAGTTGTCAATAGAATATGTACTATATGCTTGCATGGGGATTATTTTTACTGTTCCTCAAGTTCAAAATTATAAAATTATTATATAGATTTATGAGACACTGATTTTCAATATTTTGATGTACGGTCCCAATACAGCTTTTTCCCATTTAAAAAATGAATGCGATTTTAGTTCAGTGAGTAACAGGAAAAAAAATCTGACCTGTAGTTTTACATTTGGCCACCAGTAATTCCCAGGTCTTATATGACCTTCTGCCCATTAAAATGCTTTTGTAAAAGTTAAGATGTACACTATAAAGTGTGTAGTATTACAATGTGATGATATTTGTTAACCTTGGACTCCGTAATGAGACAAACAGCCTATTCAAATCTTCTTGCAGGGAATCTCTAACAATCCTAGAGATTTTCTTTCCCTTTGTTCCACAGGGGGCTCCTGCCTGTGTCTAGCTCCTGACTCTTACAAGACCTAAGGATCACTTGGCCTGTCCCCACCCCCATTCCCTACAGGTCAGAGAGGAGAGATTTGGCAGGGCATTGCTAGAAAGCCAGAATTATATATATTCTCATGGCTTTTTGATGTGGTTTGAAGAATGTTAAGAAATCTATTTTTTTAAAAAAAGTTATAGAACATTCTATTAGTATTAAGTGCATACTTTATTGTATATCTCATTTGCTTGGGGCAATAACCAGAGGAACATACCACATGGAGGATATAATTGTATTGAGCCACCTTCCTACATACTGAGCAGTGAGGCAGGGGACAGAAACTGATATGGGTCCAGGTCCTCTGACACTCTTAGCTGTGTGGGCTTCAGTTCATTAGAGTAAAGGGCTGCACTCGTGTGATGGAAGACCTGGGCCTTTTGTTTGGAGGAAAGTTTAAGAGGGAAACAGATTGAAAAAATTAAATCGAGTCCTAATTACAGAAGTGGGGATTCTGGAGTCATTGCTTTTTAAGCTTATTTATTTTGAAATTTCCAGTAGACAGATCTTATTCAACAGTAAGAATATAACCATTCTCAAATTCTGTCCCAACTCTTGTAGAATATGTTTTGTAAATACGGCTGTGTGTATGTGGGAGAAGGTTGGAGAATTCTAATTTCACTTTTAATTTTTCAAATGAAATTAATTTTTCAATTACTTTATAAAAATGGAATTCTAAAGATTTTATGATTAAAGTTATAAATAAAGATGAAAAGATCTATAATTGTAATAATATGGATTAGGATATAGAGATAAGAAGCTAATCCTAGTTTTTATTCAAAGTCTTTCCTCAAGTAATTATTGAAGTGCTTAGAAAGTTTTTCCTGGTGAGTTTATAATGAAAGAATATTATTCAGGAATGGAAGTAAATTGAAAGCTATTTTGCTGTCTCTTCGTGTGCATGTCTGTTAATGTGACCAGTAGTATTGGTAATATAAACTGTCACCATTTTTTCATAAGTCGTCCCTATAATCAGCAGCTCTTTCTAAATCATGTTATATGAAAACAATAATTTATGATCTGACAGTACCCCAGTTAGAGTAAGAATTTTCTATCAAATAACTAATTACAATATGCCATAAGTTTATTATATAAATAAATATATTTAAATGGCACTATAATAATTTAAAATATTAAACTATACTCCAAGTTAATATATGGATATAAACATATAGTAGACTATGTTTAAAGAGACGTATATACTCTCTAAAATATGCATATGACATATAATTCAACTATTTTCAAAAATCCACAAGTTATTTTAATAGTTATAATGATTACAAATGTAGCTGCAATATTATTTTACTTCTAAGAATTTAAATAGGACTTTCATGTAATTATTTCAGAGCCCTTTAAAAAAATAAATAAAAATAAAAAGCATAAAATAAGATGACTTAAATATATTCAAATGTACAAATAATCACAATAAATGTGAATGAACTCTTTATTCATTTAAAAGCCAATATACGTAACCAAAGTGTTTGTAATATTCTGAAATGAAATAAAAAATAAATAAATAGAAGCCAGACAGACCTTATGGTATTAGATTTTTAAAGAAGCTATATAGCTTATGTACAAAAGATAAAACATAAGCAAGCACTCAGTAAAGTTGGAAGTGAAAGAATGGAAGATATTTATCAGGTAATGCAAACTCCAGAAATAAACAGGTATAGCTGTGTATATCAGACAAAGACAGAAAGCATTATTAGGGATAAAATTGGACCCTATCTAATGCTGAGGTTAATTCACTGGAAAGATCTAACTACAGTTGTATGCATCATCAAATGGTTTAAAATATATAAAGAAAAAAATTAGCTAACATGCAAAGGGAAAGTGACAAATTACCCAAAATAGTGGAATAATTTAATGTAACATTTTTGGTAATCAATAAATGAAGCAGATAAGAATATTATAATACTATAATTAACAAACTTGATATTGCAGCCATATACAGTTATACAAAATATATCATTCTCAAGCAAGTATAGAACGTTTTGCAGATGAGTGGAATCTTAACGAATTTTAGAGAATTGGCATGATAGAAACTATATCCTTAATTGCAATATATTATAAATCAATAACATACAGTTCTTAAAAGCTTGTACATATGCCAGTCAAAGACACAAAAAGAAATGAAATACAGGTACTCCATGGAAATAACAGAAAGGTTAGAAAAGAAGAAACCAGGCTGGCAGACACTGTGGACAGCGTGATTGTGAACATAGAAAATCTAAGGTAATCTAAAGAAATATTATCGGGATAAATGAGAGTTCAGTGAATTTGCTGAATTTATGACCAGTCGATATTGAGAAATTACTTGAATTTCTATAGTATCATATTAATAAAATAATTGCCATTATAAAGCCTAGTAAAATTATTTGCAATATTAACAAAAATGTAAAATTCTGTGGAATAACTGCAATACCTTTGTGAAAATTATAAAACTTTATTAAGAGCATTAAAGACAACCAAGTAAATAGATTGATTCGCTACTGTCATGGACTCCATATCTTAAAGCAATGGTTCTCAATCAAGAGTAAACTTGACCCCCAGGGGATATTTGGCATTTTCCGAAGATATTTTTGTTGTCACAAAGGGAGGGGAATTTTTTCTACTGGTGTGTAGTAAGTGGAAGCTAAGGCTGCTGTTAATTATCCTACCAATGTACAGGCCATCCCCCACAGCAAAACATCATCTGGTCCAAAATATCCATAATGCTGTCATACTTGAGAAATCCTGCTGTAAAGATATCATTCTCCTCAAATTAAATTATCAATTTAATGACATTCCAAACAAATGCCAAGTGTTCTATTTATTCGTATAGATTGTAGCAAGCTGATTTTAAAATTAATAGGGAAACTAAGAGTTAAAAAATAAGCAAGATAATTTTAAAGCTGGAAAACAAGGTGAAGATGCTAATCTTATCAAGACACATCATACTGCTGTAGCAATTAGTGCGGGTTGAATCAGCCAAGCAATAGGCAGATCGATCAATTAAACAGAAATTGAGAACCTGGAAATTTTTAGTGGATTAGTTGTGTATCATAATGATGATTTTATTACTGATCTACTCCCCCCCCAAAATCATTAAAAGTTAAAGTTGACTCAATATTTCACCCTTTTACCTTTCTTAACAACCCCCTAAATTTATAGCTCTGCTTTGCATCAAATGAATTCCCCTGACAAACAATGAATAGTAGCTTTTAGAAGTTTTTGTACTTCCTAGGAAAGTAGAATTTCTTGAGCAATAGGAACTTTTAAGTGAAAAGTGAAATTACTGAATTTTTAATACTGCTACAAGAAATTTTTGTACCTTAAAATGAACTATTTCCAACTTTAGACGATAGTATAAATTTTAGAAAATAATAGGAAGGAAAGAAGAAAAATGAGATGTCCCTATTAGTAAGTTTTGAGTAGGTCTGGTAACCATGACAAATCTGCCGTATTCTGTTTGAATCTGGGAAGACTGGGATCTGCCTGTACCAATTAGAAATTGGTGAAAAATGTTGGCCATCCTTATGCTCAGATTAAAAAGACATTTTAGTGTCTGCCCTAACACAACTGAGATACGCTATGGATTCCCCTTACACATTCTCAGTATTTTGCACAACTTTCAGTGTAAAAAATGAAATGAAACTTGCAACTTTAATGCAAAATGGGTCTTTAAAATTCAAGCATCATCCATGAATAATTAATAGAATTGCATTTCCTCTACTAGGCTATCTTGCTAAAATGGCAATCACAGAAGCTGAAATAGTTATTTTTGATGCCTACTACATTAGTAAAAAATTTCCCAGACTGACCTACCTCATTCCCCAGCAGATATATTTCTAGCTTGTCTACCATCAGTCCACTCCAAAACTGAATGGGGATGATTTTTAGATAATCCATGCTCTGTTCTGTGCATAAAAATAAGTAACAGAGTCTTAACTAGGTAAGGCAGTGGGATTTTAGTCTGATTTTAGAAATAATTTTTTAAGAAATAATCTTTCTTTACCATTAAATATTTCATATTTTTCAGGATATTTAATTCATATTAATTTAAATCTCTTTATGTACATTATAGGTCGCCTTTTTTTTTACAGGATGAAAATCTTAAATAATATAGTCATTTTATTTTCGTTCTATCTTTTCAAATTTGAAACTTTGATGCCTAAAGTCTTTTATAAAAGAAGTTGGTTAATGCTTACAAAACTACCGTTAAATAAAAGGAATAAGTTCTAATATTTGATAGTATAGTTGGAAAATTATAGTTAATAATAATTTATTGTATATTTCAAGAATTACACAAAAGAAAAATTATAATGTTCCCAACACAATGAAAAGATAAATGTTTGGAATTATGGATATTCCAGTTACCCTGATTTGATCATTACACATTGTACATGGGTATAAAAATATCACATGTACCCCAAAAATATATATAACTATGATACATTGATTAAATTTTTTCATTTGGAAAACTTTGTTTTGCAAATACAAAAGGATTGCAATGATTAAATATTAGTTATTCTGATCTTTTGCCACAAATCCAAACAAAGGAAGGTTTGGGAACTGAGCAATTTAAAGAAAAAATATTTGCTAGATTCTACAGAGATTCTATATCAGAATGAGGAGCTGGATAAGAGTGTTTTGTCTATAAATCAGAATACACATGCAATGGAGGCATAGATATGTGATAATGTATAAGCATAGGTGTATAAATATAAACATAAAATATAAGTATTATTTTGCAAAAGAGTAGACAAATGCCTTTACTTTGGGCAGAGAGGAAATTAGATGCATAGCTGGGACCAGGACCCCAGGCCTCCCAGCTTTTCCTCCAGGCCCAGAGATGTGCGTTTATTTTCCCAGTCACTTATACATGGGGTGATGATGATGATGGTGGTAATAACAATTAATATTCATGATGTCCAATAGGCTGTGTGCTGTTAGGAGGCAGAGACTGTATTTTTTGCTCTGTGTTCTGAGTGCCTGGCATAGCGCCTGCCCAGCAGGAGGTGTCGATTCAGTGACTGGAGACAGCATTTCACAGGACATTTTCACACCTATTAATCTATATTTATTTGTAAGGGTGTTGTATTTATTTTGGTTTTGAATCTATGGAGTTGTTTTTTCAATCTAAAAAGTTAGCAAGGAAAGAAATACCTAGGTACAATAAGAGGACTTTAAAACATTAATGATGAATTAATATTCTGGAAATAAATATCTAAATCTAGCGTTACCATTTATATTTGTAATTAATAATCATTGAGATATTATTTGTAATCAATAATCATTCAGACATTATCCTAAGACTAATTTTACAAGAGAAGTTATACGCTTAATTACTGTGAAAATCCCACACTTGCAAAATGACCACCCTTCTGGGTTTGCCCCCTTACCTCTCTGTGGTCATTTAGACCAGGACTTAGCAAATGAGTCAAGAGTTGGTAAACTACTGCTTATGGGTCAAATCCAGCCCACTGGCCTGTTTTTATATGGCCCATGAGCTAAGAATGTCTCTTTTTTACATTTTTAAATGGTTGAAAAATAAAAGGAAGAATATTTCATGACATATAAAACTTGTATGAAAATCAAATTTCCGTGTCTATAAATTGTCACTGCAACACAGCCGCGCCTGTTTGTTATTGTCTGTGGCTGCCTGCGTGCTCTGCAGACAGAGTGAAGTCGTAGCTACAAGAGGCTGCATGGCCTGCAAAGCCAAAATCACTTACTCTATGGCCCTGTACAGAAAAAGTTTGCTAAACCCCAAGTTAGATTCCTCATAGTCTCTGTTCTCTCAAAATATTGAAAATGTTTTTAAGTGTTCAGTTAAGTCTTTTAATGTTGGTTTCAAATTACAATAAGAGATCATAGCTAATTTTGTCAGTATGTTAATCAGGATAATTTTAAGGGTTTTGGTTCGTTGTTTTTTAGGACCAGTGACACAATAGTCCTTTCCCAAAAGGAGCACCTGCCGGTCACTCAGGTTGTGATGACAGACACAGGCCGACTGCATTCAGAAGCAGCTTATAGCCTGGGGCCGCTGCTCTGCCAGGGGGACAGTAAGTGGCAAGAAAAAGATTTCTTTTCATAACATGTTTTGGTTATAAATGAGTAGACGAATACCCTTATTTTGGCCAGAGAGAAAATTGGTGGCAGTGCCAGGACCAGGATGGATCTCAGAAAAGCACAGGTATCGTAAAAACACTGTCTGTACCGACGATCGGTATTTCCTTAGTGAAGAATTAGTTTATAGAGGCTGAATTATCTTTGTTTTAACTTATTACTTGGTTGGCTGGATTTATTGTCCATTTATTGTATTTCTTCCAGAACAGTCATTAAGTGAAGGATTTCCTGAGCTCGTGAATGCTTGGGGATATTTATTCATTAGCCCATAATGTTTTCAGACAACTGTAGTGGTATAAAATTATTGGGACACACTTTGCTTTTTCAGACCTTTGTACATATCATTTCATCATTATAGGGTACTGAGCGTTATATTAATCTTCTTTGCTGCGATGTTTTCATTCACGGTTGGATTCCTTGGTCAAGCTTTCCCTCACCCACCCCGGGCTCACTGGCACTGCATCCCCAGAATTGTGTCAGGTTGGTGAGGACCTGCCTGTTGCCCTAGTACCTGAACAGCAGCTAAGCCAGATATAAAAATCTTACTTCCCTGAGAAGAGTTTTAATACTGTTTCTTATACCCTAGCATTGTCTGTTGCTGTGGAGAAGTCTGAGACTAAATTTATTTTGACTTCTCTGCCCCAGTATGTGTAGGATACTGCTGGGAGAGGTAGTCCAGTGCGGACCCTGAGCAACCCTGCACGTTCTTGGGGATGTGCCAACCACACGGCGTCTCCAGCCCCTGATGCCAAGCAATTTCTGTACCCAATCGTGTAGGCAACTAAGGAGGTCAAAGAGAATACAGCGTTGCCGCCAATGGCTACTCACTCCCCAGAGAGGAGGAGTTCTGGCTTGTGTGCTACTTGCTCAGAAAGTTCCACACACTTGTCCCTGGGTTCGTCATCTGAGATGCAAACCTACCGTGTGTGTAGCATTGACCTGGGCCAGTGGATCTCATTGACCTGTGAGATTTGGAGATAAAGGGAACTGATGCAAGTATTCTAATGCCTTTGCTGCTTGCTGTGCTCTAATAAAGTTCTTTGACTTTGACCCAGAAATGTATTGGCTATCAGCATCCGTGGAAGTGTGGCAAGCTAAATTGTTAGTTTGCAAGTAAGGTGAAATCTCTGATTCTTCACAGTTCTTGAGAGGCTATCCTTCAATTTCAAAGCTTATCCAGAATATGCCTCAGTGTTAATTATTCAGTGTTAATTTTTCCTAGAATAAAGCATGCTTATTTTGACCTAAATATTCTGATATTTTATTCTCCTTCAGGAGAAATGGTTTTATTATGCCTTTTTTTTTTTTTTTTTTTGAGACAGAGTCTCAAAAAATCGTCATAGCTCACTGCAACTTCTCAAATGCCTGGGCTCATTATTGTGCTTTAAATACGTTTTCTGTTTCATTTGTTGGATTCTCTGCATCTGGGACTTTATGTTGACCTGTCTTCCTTTGCCCTTCATACATTTTCTGGTTTCTCAAATTGCTTCAGTGTCTTTGTCCTTTTCTGTATTCAATGTGATGATGCTGTTTTTCCTCAATTTCAGTCATTAGATATCAACTATATTAATTCCATTTCTAGATGTTTCTGATTTATCTATTATTTCAGTGATGATTTGTTTGGATCTCTATTTAATTTTTCCTTAAAAATCCCTTTTAATGTATTTTAAAATTATCTAATCTTTTAGTTTTAGTTGTACTGAGTTAATGTTTGTATTATTCCCATACTATGAAGCTCGTACAGGGGTTTTCCTTCCCTGGGGTTGAGTTCTTTCAGATCAGCTTTTTCATATGTGTGTGCTGTGATCTGTCTTCACGTCCTCCTTTCCTCCCATTCAGTCTGCCTTGTACATGTTCGCTCCTTCCTTTATTCCTT